TCCTGCCTTCGGGTTCCTACAGCAGAAAAATGTTGAAAAATATCTACAAGAATCCATCATTTAGACTTCAAGTGTATTAATAAAAAGAATTTAAGAGCAACCAATCTACAGAGATAACACAGCACAAAATAACTAAGCCCCACAGTCTCCAGATAGCATGGACAACAGGGAGCACACAGTCTCAGGATTTCAGAAATGGAAATCAGCAGACACATGCCATAAAACAACTAAGCAAACTGTGTTTAAAGAAATAAAAGGCAAAGTTACAGTTCTGGATAGGAGATGAGAAAAGATAGTAAGCACTGAATTGCATTTTCTAAAATCAAATACAAAGTCTAGTCTGAAATGTAAACATCTGAAATTAGAAACTCAGTGGGTAATTAATTCATTAAATACAGCTCACAAAAAAGAAAAGATAGGTCTGAAGAAATGAAAGATGAGAATTATCAAAGAAAGGATCAGAAGCAGAGAATGTATATTTAAACAGCCTACATAAAAATTCCAGGAGGAAGAGATTAGGCCAGAAATAATAATGGGGTATTTTCCTCTTTTCCTTTTAATGCATATGAGTGTTTTGCCTGGATGTATGTATATAAGTGCACCCATGTTATACAATACCCAAGGAAGCCAGAGAGGGCGTCAGATAATGTAGAACTGCAGTTAGGTAAGGCTGTTATCTGCCATGTGGGTGCTGGGACTCGAACCCTGGTCCTCTTGCAAGCACATCCAGTGCTCTTAACTGCTGAACTATCTTTCCAGCCCCAACAATGGGGAATTTTCAGAAACTGTTAAAAGACAAGATGTCCTACAAATTCCAGGTACATATGTATACATGTATCATAGAAAAACTGAAGAAAATCTAAGAAAAATTATGATTTTTAAAGGTATTTTTAGGGGGGGCAGGAGAGATGGCTCAGCAATTAAGAGCACTTGCTCTTGCAGAGGACCTGAGTTTCGTTCCCAGCACTGACATGGCAGCTAATAACAGTCTACAACTTCAGATCCAAGGGATCTACGCCCTCTCTTGGCCTTTTCAGGCACTGCACAACACAAGTACACTTACATTCAAACAAAACACTCATACACATAAAATAAAAATAAAATATAATTCCCCCAATTTTTTAAGTTATTTTTAAAGGGAGGCAGCAAGATGGCTCAGCAAGTAAGAGTATTTGTCACGCAAGTCTGGAGACCAGAGTTCAATTCTTGGGACCCACATAAAGATGGAAAGGGAGAGCTAACTCCATAAAGTCATCCTCTGACCTCCACACATCACGGCATGTTGGCCAGACATACACATCATGAATAAACACATATAATAATAAATTTAAATGTTTTAAACTGGTTAAAAAGACAAATAACGTCGGAAGGAAAAAGTAAATATCTACACACAAGCAGAAGACAGAACGAAAAGTCTTACCAGAAATATATGGGATAGTAAAATAATGCTTTCAATGAGTTGAAAAGAATATTGGCCAAACTAAGAATTCTACAAAGGATAAAATGTCTTTCATGAGTGACCAAAATAAAGTCATTGGCTGTCAACAAAGAGTTTGCTCACAAACAGCCCTCTAAATGAAATTCTAAAATACAAATGAAAGACAAAAGATGTGTATGTGGGTAGAAAGGAAGAACAGTGATGACTTAAAATAATGCTAGGACGTACAATCTTGTAGGATCACACATTAACTCAATGAAAATGGAATTTAAAATATTTAAAGTTTCTTGTATAGCAAGGCAGGGCAGATAAATACATACTGGCTGATATCCAACTTTGATAAACCAAAGATGTATGTTATGCTACACAGGTTTTGTTTTTTTTATTTTATGTGTATGAGTGTATTGCCTGCATGTATGTGAGTGCACCCATGTTGTACAATGCTGCAGAGGTCAGAAGAGGGCTTCAGATTCCCCTGGAACTGGTGTTAAGGACGATTCGTAGCCACCATGTGAGTGCTGGGAATCAAACTCAGGTCCTCTGCAAGAGCAGTCAGTGCTCTTAACCTCTGAGACATCTCTCCAGCTCCAACTACATAGGCTTTAACATAAGAGTAGAAGCATATATAGTTCTCAAACTAGTATGGAAATAAAAGTATTTTAACTACAAGAAAAAGAGAAAAATTATGGAAGGTGAGACAAAAAGCATTTTTAAAAGACTAAATCTAAATCCAAATATATTGAAACAAGTGCAGTGGCATGCCTGTCATCCCCACTACTTAGGAGGCAGAGCAGGTAGATAGATCACTTGGGCCCTGGAGTTCAAAGTCAGCCCTATCTTTTTAAAAAAAATGGTGGGCTGAAGAGATGTCTCAGTGGATAAGAGAACTGACTTCTATTGCAGAGGACATGAGTTCTGTTCCCAGCACCCACACAGCAGGTAACAACCATCTGTAACTCCAGTTTCACGAGCTCCAACATGGCTCTTCTGGCCTCCATGGGCATTGCACAACATGGGTACACTTACATAGATGTAGGCAAAACACTCGTACACATAAAGTAAAAAATATATATATTTTTTGAATGGTATAAATATACCAGAATCTATGGTATTGTCTAGATACAAGATGATAGAACTTGGCTTAAAAACTGTACAGTGTGGGGCTGAAGAGATGGTTCAGTGGTTAAGAGCACTGGCTGCTCTTGCAAAGGACTGGGGTTCAATTCCCAGCATCCACATGGTAGCTAACAGCTGTTCATAACTCCAGTTCCAGGGGGAATTCAATGCCCTCTTCTGACCTTCATGGGCATTGCACTTAAATACATGCAGGCAAAACATCCATACACATAAAATAATAAAAAATTTTAAAACTACATAATGCCTACATGCATGTAAAATGTATTGACAGACAGATCAAGAGTAAAAGAATGGGGATTGTGGGGGTATCTCAGGGATTAAGAACACTTGATGTCCTTCCAGAGAGTCTGAGTTCAACTCCCAGCACCCACATAGTGGCTCTATCATTCTCTTCCAGCCTTTGTGGACACTGCACACATACTAGTAACCATACTAGAAATCAAAACACTTGTACAAATACAAATAAATAAGATTAAAAGAATGAAGGAAGATATACCACGTAAAAATAGCTACCAAGAAAGTATCAGGAAGCCACCTTGAGCTCAGACCATTAGATTCCCTATTTCCCTAACACTAGGGGAAGGACAGGCCCACTAAGGAAACCCACCTCAAGCATCCAAAACCCACAAGGGTTGACTAAGACCAAAGTACAGAAAGAACAGAAAATACCTGTCCTGCTAACAAGGCTAACAAGGGTCCAGCTGCATGAAGGGGAAGCACACTGAAGCACAGGTTCAGAGTAACAGCTAAAGCTAACAGTGGGACAGGAACAGACACAAAGGCTCAGGCATCTCAGTGCTATATGAAAGACAATCAGGCAACAAAAAAATTCAAGCCCTACTCAGCTTCTGCCTAGAGTAACTCAACAGGTTCCCCCCACCCCCACTAAAGGCCTACTGGAAGAAGAGTTGGCTCTATTTTCATGCACAGTATGATTTACATCAGTCTCTATTGTTATAGCTTCAATCCATAATCAAATCACCATCCAGCTCAGTCTCAGGCAACCACAATCTATTTTCTGCCTCTACAGACTAAATGTGTTTTATGAATGGCACACCAGATTGAATAGATTCCCTCCAAATTCATGCCCACCCAGAACACATGGCTATGACCTTATTTGGAAGCACGCTCTTAACACATACAATCAAGTTAAGATAAGGTAGTGGAATGACCCTGAAATCCAATGACTGTCATCCTTTCACAAAGACAGAACTTTGGACATGAAGATGCACAAAGAGAGGGCCAGGTAACAATGGAGGCAGATATTGGAGCTATGCTGCCATAAACCAAAGATGGAGCCCAGAATGGAGCCAAGTCTGCTACAACCTGATCTCAGACTCTGGCCTCCTGAACCGTTAAGAGCATGAATTTCTGTTTGTAGTGAATCAACTAGGTTATGATTTCATAAAATGAACAGAACTGGAAGCAAATTATCTATGGAAATGCAATAGATAAAATACTGGTATTTTCTTCAAAGCAGTATCACATGGGAGTTGACATGAACTTACCTTTTGAACTGCACAATGTTAAGAAAACAAGTCAGACAAAAAAGAATGAATAATATATGATCCCATTAATAAAACTTAAAAATAAAAATAAACTGACAAAGTAATCGTATTGCTCAGGTATGATTAACTCAAAGGATGAACTACATGGAAACATTTGACAATGTTAAGGATTCAATCAGAAGAGGAGACAACTCAAGATGGAGCAAGAAGAGCTGAAAGACAAGAGAAGCTGGGGAAAAGCAGGCACTGGCATTTCGCATCGCAGGACCCAGATGATGTTTAAATAATTTTTGCTTTATAATAATTTGTTCTGCCTACTTTTACATGTATATAATTCACAATTTAAATAAAAGAAAAAGACGAAGAAGAAAGGAAATGAAGTTGCCTGTTTCAGCTCTGGAGACTTCCTGAGGTCTCATCTGGAACTCAGGAAGTTTGATCTCAAGTCTACAGATGGGACACCACTGAGGTCCTGACAAGCAGCGGTGGCAGTTCCTGGGAGTCTGGGTGACCCTATAGTGGTAGGAGTCACCCCAGAAGTCAGCACTAAGTTCCCTTTGTCCAATCCTTTGGAAGATTTTGTAAGCATTTAATCTCTGCTTATAGTGTCTGAGCTGTCTCTCATAAGAGCACATGAACTCTATCAAATTCAGCTCATCCTGAAAAGTTAAAGAAAAAGCCCCAGAGGAATGCCCTACACAAAGTACTAGGCATTATGAGCAGTAAAAAGCAGGAGGACTAAGCACTGGCCTTTAAATTGGCAGACTACTGAGTTCTCCTTAGTAAACATAGCACAAATATAAAAAGCTAAGTATTTAAGTTTATGGCACTGACTTTTAAGTGTTATTATAAAACAAAAAGAGGATGAGGACGGAGGAGTGAAGAAGCATGGGGAGGAATAAAAACAGATGCTGTACCTGGAGTCTTGTATTCATTTCCAAGAAGTAGAAGTTCTTCTGGGAGTCTACGAGAAACTCCACAGTTCCTGCGGAAGAATACTGCACCGCTCTGGCCAGAGCCACAGCCTGCTCTCCCATAGCTCGGCGTGTCTCGGGATCCAGGAAAATGCTACAAATACAGAAAGCACTCAGCCACAAAATACCGGGCTATGGCATCATATAAAACAGTTCTTCAGTTTCACTCCAGCATAGATCCATCTGTACCAACTTAAGAGTTCATAGTGTTACATGCTTTTGGTTTTACAGAACACATTTACTGTATTATGTGAACATGTTCAAACAAACCAACTTCAAGTTTTTATGGAACATTTGATCTTTCACATTAGCCTACAACTTCATTTCTAAAATATACAACTAACCTTTACCTAGTAAAATTTAACATATATATTGAAAGTTGTTTCAAGATAAAACTGGGAGAAAATAACTTCACAGACACTGATATAGATGGTCAAGCTTCATTACTTATGGATTCCATATGTGCAAACTTGCCTATTGCTAAAATTAATGTGAAACCTTAAAAATTACTATTTACAGCACCTTTATGGTCACATTAACAAGCACAGAGAGGAAAACAGTGGATAAGCCGAGGATGAACAGGTGATGCTCTGCCTTCCTGCTTCTGTGTGCTAACATTTAACCAGTGTCCTCTCCAAGGCGGGAGAGGGGGAGACTGAGAGAGACTGAGATTGAGATTGAGATTGAGATTGATTTCACTGTTCAAGATGCCCCTGGCTATTATGCATAAGTACTCTCTGGGTTCCTGATGAGGATCATGAGCTCCATGTTAATGAATCAAGAACAAATGTTAAGTGAGGTGCTCTTCAACAGGAATATACAGAAAACAAGGTTAAACATTGATCAGGTACATAAAACTCATTTCTACATTATGTGAAAATGTTATAGACTGGGGTTTGCAGGAAGATAACCCTCCATTTCTCTTGGGAAAAAGAGACCAGCTCTTGTGAATTCAGTGCTCACAATGTCTGAGAAGAACATAACTGCTACAAATAGTTAAGCATGTGCTATATAGCAAATAAACCTCTAAGATCTATTTTTAGAAATACCAGTACACTTTCCAGCAGCAGACAAAGCTAAAATGTTTTCAACAAAACTTGCATATAACCAAATAACTTATAGTTTCAGATTTTGATTCTATGCAAGAAAGAGTCTGAGAAATAAAATATTATTTTTGTGTTTGTGGGTTAAAGTTAATTCTCAAAGAAATCAGCACACCATGCTCTAGAATATTTATCATGAATAGTATACTGAACTTGCATGTACCTTTCTTCAGTATGTAACAACTATTGACATATAGCCACTTTTACTGTATCCATGTTACACATTCACTTCTCTACTAGACTCACTTGTTTTTGTGTTTGGGAGATTTGGGGTTATTCCTTTATTTGGGTAAATCCTAAATTAGGTACTGTTTCATCCTAGAAAACCCCACCTGTTTCTGATAGAACTTTTTTTTTTTTTAACACAACCACGCTTTACAAGAACTCCTTAACAATCTGTCGGTATTTAATTAGTAGTCAGTCAGTATTCATATTTCCCTGACTACCTCACAAACATCTTTATAAAACTTTCTTTGAATGAAGATCCAAATAAGGTCCAGACTCTGCATTTGATTTTTTTTTTTTTCATTTTAAGATTATTTTAATCTGGCATGCCCTCCCCAGGCTTTCAGCCAAAGACTCAGCCATTTTCCTGTCTTGTTCCTACATTCCTGGCTGAGCTGCATGCAACCTGGAGGTGTCTTCTAACACTACCATTATATTTCAATCTCATATTAACTGCTTGTTAGATCATTTGGACTGACATGGAGGTGGAAAAGCATACATTATAAGCAAGTGAGAAATGCACTTTCTACTCTCCCCCTTTTGGTGATGTTAGAATTATTCAATGGCTTCAGGTGTTAAAAATGTTTTATTATATAGTTCTGCTGTATCATAATAAATTTAAGTGTATAAGTGTATATAACATGTAGGCAATAACTGCCTGACGAAACTACGCAACCAAAATAAGAAAATTCTACTAATAATACCTGGAGGATTCTAGAGCAGTTAAAGTAGACTCAATTTTCACCCTGTCTAGTCCCACCCCTTCCTCTACCATAAGACACTCAGAGGTAACAGTGTCCTTAGCATATTCCGCAAAGCACATGAGGTAGATTCCCTCTTACACTAGAATCTGAAAACTACGCAGGTCACTTATATAACATTTCGCAGTGCAAAATTTAAATATATATTAAAAAATTATGTATCAAGTCACTATACACAATCAGTGCTGTTTTTTTCATTGTGGTTCCTCATACTTTCAATTTTTCTCTTTTCTTCTAAGTCAATAGATGAAATTTTCCTCTGGAAAACTTAGATTTTTAGACAGAGAGAGGACACAAGCAAAAGTTCTGCTTCGAGGTTCCCAGTCTATGAAAAATTTCTATCCCAAATAAGTCTTAGGCAAGTTCTCAAACAAAATGAATGTTAACTGAATTGTGCATATAAGGCAGGCAGAACACAAAAAGCTTCTAAAGAATTGTGGCACAAACTATCACTCATCTGCAAGCATGGTTTCTCCACTTCGTCTACATTATGAGCATTTTAGCTGAGCACATAGTTGCTAAAGGAAAAATGACAATTCCAGGTCTCCCTAGTTACTTACCTAACCTCACGTCAATGCCCACTAACCATACTGCGGTCACAGGACTCAAAACAGAGAGAGGAGGAAAGACACAGGAGAGAATTTCTGTGCTTTTCTCTCCCCTTTCCTTCCCTCCCTCCCTCCCTCCCTTCTTTCCTTACTTCCTTCTTTTTCTTCCTTCCCTTCATCCATTTCACCCCCTCCCCCCGCTTCCCTTCTGGTATTAAGCTGTGAGACAGAGGGGCCACATCCCAAGACAGCCACAGTGTTAGGTTTTTAAGGTCGGTACCACTCTAAGGGCCAGCAAGTAGAACCTAGGACTTTTGTGAGGCCTGAGTCAGAGACTGGTACAGTGCCATTTCTGTTGGTAAAGCAGACATAGGACACAGAACCAATGAGGATATAGACACCCAGCTCCCATCACTCAATGTGTAGTGTCAAAGGACTGGGGGATCATGTTTTAAGACCACCATACCATCCCATATTTTTAACTAATATGTCTAAAATAGGGTTTAATATTTTAATATTACCCCATGGATAAAATTTCACCCACGGTCACACCTATTCTTTTCAGAAACTACACATACACCATATTAAGGCACATTGGCTTTGCCAATTAAAGCTATAGTTGAATATATATTTTTTAGTACCTGGCAATTCAAAATAACATTTAACTGGGGTTTTGTATTGGGGGGGTTGTTTGGTCTGAAGTTTTGAGCCAGGATCCTGCAATGTATCCCTTGGCTAGCCTTCAATTCATAGATCCTCCTTCCTCAGCTCTGGAATGCCAGGGTTATAGGCATGCCTCACCAGACCTGGCTTCAACTAGGGATTTTTAAGAACAAAGAGAATACCACAATTTACACGAACACCAACAAACATCAACTCAGAAATGAGGCTCCATGAAACCGCCACACAAAACCTATGAACAGCAGCCTGGGGAGCCACCAAAGTCACTCTGATATACCAAAGAATTTTCAAGAACTATGCCCAGGAAATGTGCAGGATCTACTTTATTAAAGTCTCTCCACCATAAGAGCCAAACATATTCTGAATATCCCATGAAACAGCTGCAGTTCCACACTACCTCAGTGGCCACTAATGGTACATTGATGCAATGTTATTACAAATGCCCGTTTGTTGTTATCTTATCAAACATTTGTTGATCAGAAGTAATCTTTTATGGATTTATATCCTATGTGTAGCTTGTTAATTACATGTGGATAGCTTTACTGTAGCTTATTTTGTTACAAGAAGCTAGTAAAATAGACTGGAGTCCATCTGTAAAACTCTATGATGCTCTGCATTTTGTAATAGTGGGAAATAAGCTGGAGCTGCCAGATAAAGTGCAAGTCCTAGTTGATGGTCCATCCAATAGTAACAAAAACTTCTTTTTCAAAGGTTTTCTCACGTTTGTATACTGAAGTTCTGAGAAAGATCAGGTAACAAATTCTTATTATCATAGAAGCAGACATTCATAAAGTTTACATGAAGGCAATTGAGGTGAAGACAAAAATCTAAAAGCTACATACAAGCAGATTATTTTGTTCCCTGGGAGGGACTCTTACCTTGGTGCCTCCTCCACCACCTTCTGGTTTCTTCTCTGGATCGAGCACTCTCTTTCATTTAGCCACAGAGCATTTCCGTGCTTGTCACCTAGAACCTAAGCGCAGCATCATGTGAAAAACACCCACTGAGGATGTGTCATCTTCTATGTGACTCCTCATAGAATGCAAGCACCTCTCAAAACATGCAGTAAGTTGAAGTTAACAGAGGAAAATTAAATTTATAATCCCAAGATATGATAAAACATGATTAGTGACAATAGTTGAGAAGAAGATTTTCATGTTGCATTTCAAATACATACACGAGAATGCGAGTATCAAATAATAATGGGCAAAACGTCAGAATGCACTGTGAAAGATACGAAGTTTCCCTGAAGGTGGCATGTAGTTTGGCCATTAATGGTACATTGACGCAATGTTATTACAAATGTCTGTTGTTATCAAATGTTTGTTGATCAGGAAGTGACAGTTTATGGATTTATAGCCAATATGTAGCTTGTTATTTACATGTGGATAGCTTTACTGTGGCTTGTTACAGGAAGCTAATAAAATAGACTGGCATTCATCTGTAACACATTATGATCCTCTGCATTTTGTAATAGTGGGAAATAAGCTGGGGCCATCAGATAAAATACAAGACACTCAGTTAAAGTTCAATCATTTGGAGTTACTTGTGTATTTCTGAAAAAACATTTTAGATTCACAGAGGCAACAACTGTTTTAGAAGCTATAAAGTAAGTCACTAATTTTAGCACCAAATAGCTATCCAGCCTCAGTGGGCAAGGCATTCTATTTCTTCATGCATTAAAAATAACAGCAATATCATTTTAATGTTTTATATGACTGGTGAAAAAAATCAACTTAGAAAAATCATAGTTATAACAGGCATCATTAGCTATAATATAAACGACTAATTGGGGGGAATATGACCACAAATTTTGGGGAACTAAGTCTATCTAAAACTCAAGAATTATTCCATTAATGAAGGAAAATATTACAGTCATAAAATGCCAATAATCTGGCATTTTATTTCTAAGACTCAAAGGTAACTGCATGAGGTGCATCTAAAAATATTTTAAATCACTAAAATAACTCTCAACCTCTTTTTTAAAAGTTCTACTTGGCAGGGAGGTAAAAGTACATTTAGTCTCCAAGAAAAAAAGCCAAAATAATCAAGAATCTTAAAAATAATTGCAATTGTTAAAAAAAAAAAGTGATTCAGATATAGAATCAATGATTTGTTTTTTTCTGATTCTATGTAGTCTCCTTGTTCATTTTAAAAGTTTAGGGAATTCATCAAGCATTCTTATTATATACTGGGAATCATGACTAAAACACTTATGAGGGGGCCAAAGAGAGCAGTAAAGAACACTGGCTGTTCTTGCAGAAGACCCAGGTTCGACTCCTAGCACCCACAGGGTATCTAACAACTATCCAAAACTCCAGCTCCAGGGGATCCAACACACTCTTCTGTCCTCCACAGGCACTGCAAGGCACTGGAACACTTACACACATGCAGGAAGAGCATTTGAACATACAAACTAAAAATAAATAGAAAATTTAAAAAAAAAACTTACGAGGGAATGTTAATCCTTAAACTTGTTATAAGCTGCTGTTAGCCATTATTTAGCCCTTTACAGATCATGTTCTGAACAAGAAGAGGCTAAACTGCTAGTTCCTGAAAAGGCTTCATGATAACAGACTGTTCCACACAATACAAGCCCTTCAGGATCCCTGAATGCAGCCCAGGAAATGTTTGTCTGGTTGACAAGCACTGAACATGAGGATATACAGAGTCGGGTAATTCATTGCCACTGCATGATTTTCACCTAGGAAAGGGTACAATATGTGACAGCTCATGTAAAAGTTAGCAGGTGATTGATATGCCCAGATATAACTGTGGATGCACATTTCAAGAAGCAGGTAACGGCATCTAGGGACAGAACCCAGAGGACCAGGAGACAGGGTAAGAAGAATGCTTGATTTTGTAGACTATCCTTGTTACACAGCACTATCCTCTGAGCCAAACAACTGCCACCTTCAAAAGATCAGCCAAGCTGAGCTTATTGACTATGGACAGTGCCTCAGAAAAGGAGGGTGTGGGTACAGTCTGGGACCCTCACCTGATATTCCAGCCACTCCTCCTAGACATTTGTACACAATTCAGACCTAATTGCCTCTGGGTCTCAGGGAGGATCTAAAGCATATAGGTTGGGGAAGATTTAAAAAAGGGAGCTCCATCTGTACAGCCAAGGGGAGGCCGTCATGCCGGGTGCAGACCTTCCAACGTGGCTACTTTAGGGTCACTCCTGCTCCTGTCCATAACTCATTGGCTCCTCAGAGTTAACTTTGATGGACTGGAACCTAGATTTGCCATTGGGACCTTATGAGGAAAGAGTAGACATTCTTTAGCACCCCCAAGGGACAGAATTTTCACAACCCTGTATCATATACTCAAATTACCTAATATAAGTACATGAAGACTGAAGAAAAGTATGTGAATAGTTTTTTTTGTTTTTGTTTTTATGTTTTTTTTTTTTTTTTAAAGAAACCTACTAAGATAGGCTAGAAAGATGGCTGAGTGGCTAAAAGCACATATTTCTCTTGTAGAGGACTGGAGTTCAATTCCCAGCACTTACATGAAATAGCTCCCAACCACCTCTAACTCCAGCACTGAGAAGATCTAATGCCTCTCACCTCCACAGGCACCAGCACTCACACATACACACACTCACATACATACATACATATAATTTAAAATGGTAAAATAAACCTCAAAAAACCTTCCAAGATAGATCAGATAGGGTGGCCCATCAGTGTCACCCACTTAATCTAGTAGAGGATATGTCCACCTATGTCTAAAAGTATAACCTAGGTGGTAGATCATGCTTAGTTAAACTAAAAGGCTAACATAGATACGTAATTGCTTAACTAATAAACATTTGTTAAATAATAATAATAATGTGAATGATAAGACCTAGCTGCTGGAACAGCAAAGGACTAAGACCTCGGTCCTTGAGGACCCCTGATGAGTGAGGAGTCATGGAACCCTATAGATTAAATAATACAAGTGATCTCCTAACAGCAGGAGCTGTGTTTTACTCCACTGTTTTCTGAAATGGTTTTTGATTTGACAGATGATTAAATCTAAAGTTTTAAAAACTTAGCAAAGATACTGGATCAATGCACCAAGCACTCATATTTATAAGCAAATTTAGAAGATGACAACACGTCATAATATCAAAATGATTAAATATCTAGGAATAAACTTCGGACTGAGGTGGGAGGCTCACAAGTTCAAGGTTAGCCTGAGCTACACAGGAGGGTGTCATCTCTTAAACAAAAAAGTAAGCTTGAGCTAGACTTAAAGTTAAAAACTCTGTTGCTGAAAAGACAGCACAGTGAACAGGCAAGCAACAAAGAAGGGATGGGATGAAAGGGAAGATTCCTTTTCTGCATTAAAAAAAAAAAAAAAAAAAAAATACAGAAGAGGAATGGGGGGCGGGGGGCAGGGGGGGGGGAAAGGAAGGGGAAAGGGAAAAGCGCGGTTGTAGAAGACACTGAATGGTCCTGTAAGTAGAATGCATCCAGCCTGGTCTGCTTCACTTTGGAGGTAGGTTTTGGGTTTTGTTTTGTTTTGTTTCAGTATTTTATTTATTTTTAGTTTATGTGTATGAATGTATTGTCTGCATGTAGGTAAGTGCACCCGTGTTGTGCAGTGCCTGCAGAGGACAGAAGAGGTTATTGGATCCCCTTGAACTGGTTACAGATAGTTGTTAGCTGCCATGTGGGTGCTGGGATTTGAACCCAGGTCTTCTGCAAAAACAACCAGTATTCTTAACCACTGAGCCATCTCTCCAGCCCCTGGAGGTGGGTTTTTATATCACTTCCACCCCACCCAAAGCCATCCAGCATCCCAGAACTTTGACCAGGAGCATACCAGACTGCTGAAGCAAGGACCTAATTTATTTTGGACTTGTTCAAACATACCAAAGCAATTCACAGTTAATCTACCCAGAAGAAACGATGTGTTTCCAAAAATATCAAATGATACTGTTTTAAAGTCATAATAATTAGAAAGGATCTTCAACTGTACCAACCTGAATTTCTATATGACGTGGGTTGTCGATAAATTTTTCAATTAGTAGTCTATCGTCACCAAAACTAGAAGCAGCTTCTTGTGATGAAAACCTAAAACCATCCCTGTGAAGTAAAAACAGCAGATTAATGAGACAAATGGTCTTCCTTATTAAAAAGAATATATATAATATATCCATATATTATACATATGTATATACATACTGATTTCAGCTTACTTCAGAACAAAGCAGGAAAAGACTCACTTGATATAGAGAACACTAAATTAATTGTGAATGGCAACTCTTCCACTTACCATTCTGTGACCTTGGATGAGTTTTTTTAACTTCCTGGTCACAGATTTTCCTTGAAAACAAGAACGGTACTTGTTTCACCAACTGCTAATGCACTCGCAAAGTAATATAAAAAAAAAAGCAGGCACATTTGGTCAGAAGTTAGAAAAGGCAAACAAAAATAGGAAGGGCTTGGCCAGCTGCACAAGCAGTGCAGTGAGGGGCATGCACTCGTTGAGAGGACCCTACAGCATGAAGATGCTTCCAAACACCCCGCCCCAGGCAACTGCCTCCCACATATCACACAGGTCATCAGAACTTCATCTTCTTTAAAATGGTTTGGAATATTCAAAACAGAAAAGGACAAGCTTTGAAAATAAAAATACAGAATTAATTATTGCTTTCTATTTTATTCCTAAATTAATTTAAATCATCATTACACTATTAAATTCTAAAACTACAATTTATTAATATAAAATGGGATTATTTAACCAGGTCATTAAAAACTCAAACTTGGGGGTCAGTGAGATGCTTTACTGACCAAATATGATAACCTGAGTTCAATTCCCCAGAACCCACATGGCAGGAGAGAACTAACTTCTCCAAGCTGTACTCTGACTTCCACATGTGCACCATGACATGTGCACAAAAAGGAGAGAGAGAGAGAGAGAGAGAGAGAGAGAGAGAGAGAGAGAAACATATAAAAATGTAAAAAATTTTAAGAAAAAAATCTTAAATATACCTAAAAGTAATTGAAAGATTTTTGTCCACTCATTGATATATTCAGAATATAAAATTGAATTAGTTTTTCCTCTAAAAAACAGTTTATCTTTAGATTAAATACTTATATTTCACATTAAACATTAAAAGTAGGTTCTTCTAATCCTTTAATGCTAGCAATCTACGTGGCAATATTAAAAATAACTACCTGATATATTTGTTTCTGTGCTTGAAATGTATAGCATTGAAGGTAAACATTAACTAGAAGACAAATCTCAAAACCTTGCAAAAAAAATCTATTTCTTCTCCCTCAGAGAAAAGGTATTAAGTTTTCTTAGTCTTCCATTACATCTTTGATTTAGGGAAATGGAGTTTAGACTTCAGCAGACTGCAATCTTCAAAGGAACCAGAAGCACAATGAGTCCTTGTTCTCAATACCACAGAACCAAAGTTTTACTAGATGGGACATTGTAATTCATATAGCGAAAAAGGGAGCACTTTACAGTTTGTCTCTGAGGTAATGATTGAGAGCTTTCATTTTCTTTTAAGCTAAGAACATCAAAAGTAAAAAATCAAAGTCATCAAAATAAAATATGAAGTTTGAAAACATCACAGATATATTTTGGAACTAAAGGAGAGCTCTGCCAAAATCACCATTTGGGGCTGGGCACAAGCTTAGCGCCTGCAAAGTCCTGGGTTCGATTCCCAGCAACAAAACTGAAAATACTCATCTTCTTACATTCAATTACACATTCATTCAAAAACTAATTACTAATCACCAAGCAATGCACCTGGTACATTTCAGTTGCTAGAATACAGGGGTAAAACAGAAACTACCTTCACAGTGCTTAAAGTATGATATGCACAGTCAAACACACAGGCACGATTCAGGCCGTATGTTTCATTTAAATTTGCATATGAAAAAGGAGGCCAGGGACTATTATGAAATATCTCAGGTTTACATTTGACAACCTTCATCATTCATATCTCTAATTATTATACAATAATTTATTATATAATAATGTCTTTTAAATTCTTTGCTGTGTTTTGAAAGTTTTAAGGCAAGTCGCAGCTCTACTTCACTGCAAAAGCAAAGGGAAGACGTGACAGGACACTCTGAGGATGACAGAAACAGCAACTGATGGGTACCAAACTCTATGCTGCATCCAAAGAATACTAAAATATTTGTGGGTTACGCAAAACAGAAATTTCTTCCTCAATGTGGGAGAGAGGAAAGGAAGAAGTAGACACATCATGGCATGGCAGTAAAAGTGAGTGACTATGGGGAACAAATATTTAAGTATTTGTGTGTTCACTAGACCATTCTCTGAATTATCTATTGCTTTGACTTTTTCTCCCAGATGAACTGGGGACACAAAGCAAGTTTTTAAAACAAAAGGTGTACATCATCAAACCCAATAGTGCCACACTTTTGTACATCTAAACAAGATTACAGAGAGTATTTTGGGTAGAAAAGTATCTATTTTTATTAACCACATAAGAGTATTTTGAGCATCTGTACACTTACTTGAATAGGAAGAACTAAAAGAAAAAGACTTACCAAAGGATGTCATATGAATGTATGTAGTGACTTCTGAAGATCCTAAACTCTAACCTCAAACTCATAGAGATGATCAACAACAGGGCAGCAGGCCTCACTGCCAAAACACTGGAGTAATAATACCTCCCATTCAAAAATATGCTACTAAGGGTTGCCTGGAGAAATGGCTGGTGAGAAATCTGAAATCCTGAGAAGAGTAATTAAAAAAAAGTGCTAGACTTCTAATGATATTGTAATCTAAGTATCATGCAAAAGGGGAGAAAACAATGGGACAGAAATAAAGTTCATAAAGTGTACCTCCTTCACGATATGTTCAGAATCTTTTTTAAGCCAAGATGCTTTTTTTAATTTTTAAATATTTTATTTATCATTTTTATTTTATGTGTCTGAGTGTATTGCCTGCATGTATGTTAGGGCACCCGTGTCGTACAATGCCACGGAGGTCAGAAGAGGGCTTCGGATTCCCCTGGAACTGGAGTTAAGGACAGTTCATAGCCACCATGTGGGTGCTGGGTATCAAACCTGGGTCCTCTGCAAGAGCAGTCAGTGCTCTCAACCGCTGAGCCATCTCTCCAGCCCCGTGATGTGTTCAGAACCTTGACTATTCCATCCGTCCTCTGAAGAAGCGGCATGACCCCAACAGTACCAACAGTTCCGCATGCTCTTTGAGGAACCTCACCCTGCCCCCTTTCCTACTGAAGAAGTACAGTCACAGAGTCCCCTCCTCTTGAATTGGGGTTCAGAATCCTGGGATCCTTGATAATCAATAGAAGGTGCAGGGGAAACTTGGGACTTCTGAGGCTGGTACATTTTTTAAGAAAATACTAAGTTTCCATTTGGATTTAAAATACCTATCTCAGAGCCTTAGGTCACCCTACAATGAGTTCAAAATCACCACAGTGAGGAAGCCCGAGCCACCTGCTGAGAGGGCCACTGGTTCATAGGGGTTATAAATGGGGAATAAGGGATAGCCTCAAACTTTAACAGATAAACATCAAATTGGATGGATTCTCAGATCAAAACAGGGCTGAACATGCTTCCTCCCTTTCTACTTGCTTCCACCCACACAGCTACCACTCAGCCCAACCTAAACATTTCACATAGCTAACACTGCTCTCACACAGGAATTTGCTGAAGTTCCACAACTGCCTTCTCTACTCAAACCCTTCCAATTGTTCCCTATCTCACTAAGAATGGCCTACAAGAGTCTACATAGGGCTGGAGAGATGGCTCTGCGGTTAAGAGCACTGGCTGCTCTTGCAGAAGTCCTGGGTTCAAATACCAGCACCCACATGGTGGCTTATTTATACCATGGGTCCCTTTGCAGAAAGATACAGCATATAAACTGGTCAAAACAAGTTCCAAGTGCTGTTGAAATGCATAGCACTAGAGGACACAATGGTACATGTCTCTAGTCCAGTGACTCAGGTGGCTGAAGCAGGAGGATGACTTGCTCAAGAGTTCAGGGTCATCCTAGGTGATGTAGAAAGACTCTATTATTTTAAAATAGTAAGTGGTCTAGGGGTATTGTTCAGGGATAGAGTGCTTGCCTAGAAGTGCAAGACCTTGGGTTTGACCCTCAGCACTGAAAACAAGCAAATAGGTAAAATGAGTATTTAAAATTAATAGGACTACATACACTGAAAGATAGACATCAAAATAAGTTTATACTTAGGAGATAGCACATGTTTATTAAAGCCTTTATTAAATAATAGGCTTCTAGGAATGGAGAGATGGCCCAGGGGTTAACAGCACTTACTGCTCTTGCAGAGAACAGAGGTTCAGTTCCCAGCATCAACATGATGGCTTACAACCACCTATAACCCAAGTTCAAGGGGATTCGATGCCCTTTTCTGGCCTCTGCAGACTCCTATATGCACATGATGTACACAAATTCACCTAGGCTCACACAAATACATAAAAATAAAAAATAAATCTTTAAAATGATAATCATCATAATTTCCAATGAGTCTAATTAGCACCATAACTTAGAGGCACCTATAACATACTAGAATAAGAAGACATATGTGGTTTTCTAATGATGAGAAGTTCCATAGATACCATGATTACTTTAACTTGTTCCATTGTAGGAAACACTAAATTCCATGTAGAAGGAAGTCAAATAATTCTGTGCATGCTTTACTCATCCATATTCATGAACCTCCCCTGAATCCTTGATCTAGTATATGAATGGGCTGTTTCCTGGTTTTATTCACACTGTATCCCAGGACAATATCTAAAACTGCAGGTTCTCAATAGGCACTGTCAGTCACCACCCTGCATTTCTTCTTGTTGGTCACATGAGATAAGAGAGAAGAATCTGCTGTTAGTATCTGGTACTTGTGCCACAGTGACAGTAAGACCGGTGTTTTACAGACCATACCAACATCAGCCATGTACCTTCCCCCATGTCAGCCAAAAAAGCAGGTTCTGAGCCAATTTTCTTAGTTAAACCTATCTATGTGAGTCTCCAACACAGTTTCTTCCTATAATATCATAAAGACAAACCATATTGCCTCTGAGAGATTTTTACCAGACTTGGTTACTTTAGGACCCAACTTCAAATAAAGTTTGGACTCTGGTACTGCATGATTTTCCTACTAAGTAATGTAGACTTCTCTCCCTGAGAGATTTAAGAACAGAACAAATGGAGAAGGAAACTGGAAAGGAAGAGGAAGCAGAATTAACCATTTGGCAGACCAGATTACTTCTGGAGGGATAGGAAGACAACAATAATGATAAAATAACATTCTATAAATTTTCATTCCCCATCTCCATAAATGATAGAAATTTCTCCTTCAGCAAAATCTGTAATTGTTTAATCCAATGTGTGTGTGTGTGTGTGTGTGTGTGTGTGTGTGTGGTGTGCCTGTGTAGCGTTTATGTGCATGCACATGTGTATGTGGGTGGAGGTCACAGGTCAACATCAAGTGTCTTCCTCTGTGGCTTTCTACCTTCTTTTTGTTGATTCTGTCTCTGTAGCTTGCTAGTTTGCCTATATTGGCTGGATAGCAAGCATCTTCCCATCTCTTCCTCCCCAGCGTTTACCCCATGTGCTACTATGCCTGGCTTTCCTTTTTAAACATGGGTGCTTGGGATCTGAACTCATATCTGCATGCTTACATGGCACGCATTTTACTGACTGGGCCATCTCTCTAGCCTCTCCTGCAGCCAAACCTAAAAATAAAGAATAAAAATGTGAACAAAGTTCCTTAAAGCTGACTATATTATGATATCTCTTTTCTAATCACTATTGATGTCGACATGCATTGGATTGTTAAAAACTACTTGTCTTTAAAAGGATAGCATGCCACGCATGGTAGCACACGCCTTTAATCCCAGGCAGAGGCAGGCGGATCATTGTGAGTTCAAGGCCAGCCTGGTCTACACAGTGAGTTCAGGTCAGCTGGGACTACAATGAGACCCTGTCTCAAAAAGACAAAATGATAATAGTAATAATAATAACAATAACAATAATAATAAAAATAAATAAATAAATAAATGGATAGCAAAAAAAAAAAAAGTTGCCAAAAAGCCAAAAAAGACAATGATCTAGGGGCAAGCAAGCCTAGAGGGGCAAAGTCAAAAAGGAGAAGTGGTCCAAAGGCAAAGTTCAAGACAAGTCTAACAACCTAGACCTGTTTGACAAAACTATTTATGACAAGCTTTGTAAGGAAGTTCTCAACTATAAGCTTACTACCCCAGCTGTGGTCTCTGAGACACTAAAGATCCGTGGTTCTCTGGCCAGGCCAGCCCTTCAGGAGCACCTCAGAGTAAAGTACTTATCAAACTGCTGTCAAAGCACAGAGCTCAAGTAATTTACACCACCAATACTAAGAGTGGAGATGCCCCAGATGCTGAAGATGCATAAAGAGGTTCAACCAACTGCACATTTGGAAAAACGAAGCTTTATTAAATAAAAAAGGTTACTTCTGATTACTGAAACTAGTTCAAAAAAAAGTATTCTAAATTTACAACAGAGTGTATTATAAAAAGCATACAGCAATTTCAACTTCTAAAGGAAAAAGGTATTTTAGACTACAAAATTATCAAAGTACTTACTTTTATGAACCAGTAAGGAAAGTAATTACATATTGGGATGATACATAAACACAAGAAAACACAACTGTTCTCAAATAAACTTGTTTCAAATCCTAAGGCAACACTGTGAATTATGCAGCCAAATGTTAGTAATTTCAGCACAGAAAACAGAATAATTTTAAAATATACACAAAAACAAGAAAAATCCCTTATCATTGTAAAAACAAACTTTATTTTTTAAAAGTCTTTTTTCAAAATATAAATAAGAAAGATTTCTGCACAGTACCAATTTTTCTCCCATCGAAGGAAGTAAAAATGAGAAGGTCTCTGTAATTATTCCATTATGCTCTCAGTATCTGTTTACCTGTCACTTTAACAAAACTCTGGGAACTGCAATTTCCATCAAAAGTATATTTTGGACAGCCTCTCACCTGGTCTCTTCATCATCCCAAGCGATGCGCATGCCTTTCCCACCGCCACCTGCTGAGGCCTTGATCATGATGGGGTAGCCTAACAGCAGGGAAGAAGGAGACACAAGTTCAGACTTTGATCATCTGGATGTATGAACATGACAACTGACCACATGTTCAATAACACAGAAGACAATAACTGATTTATTTAAAAGTTCCTTTTTTCCGAGTCACAAAAATGCCATCAACATAATGAATTTTTGTGTGTGTATATTTAACTGAATGATCATTTTAAAAGAACAAGATTATTTGTATCATATTTGTATCAATAAATATATTTCCCAAGAAATAAAACAAAAGCCAAGAAAACAAATTATTTGGCAAGGAATCCAAAATCAGAATATAGTATTAACTAGCCAAAGAGAAGAGAAGCAATTTACATAGTGCATGCACACGTGCACACACACATTTATGATTCCGTAAGCTTCCACTTGCATGAATAACAAATTAATTTTTCTCTTTTCTTTTCAAAAGTTGACTTGCGGGTACTTTGGGTATTTTCCTCTGAAAGGTGACAGAGAATGCCTACAGCTTTTACCAGCAAAACTGACATGATGGCCTTAGGGGAAAAAAAATCAAACACAGCCATCTCACAGAAGACCCAGAGTTCACTGCCAACAGTGGAAAGGCACTACTCTACACAAACGATTACCAGGAAAGCATGGGCAGCTTCCAAACAAAGGCCATTTCCAGTTATAGTCTTATGAGATAAAATTATTGTTAAAAATATTACATTATATATTGTAAAAATTTTTACTACAATTATACATTAAGACCTGTTATTCTCCTTTAAAGGCTTTCTGGAAACTCGATGGAAATATTCACACACTTAACACCATTTGTCATGTATGATCTTTTCTCAGGAAAGAAGCAGTGAACCTTTAAAGGACCCTTGCCAAACTGTGCTTCTGTAACAGCACTGAACTCTAGCAATAGGACCCTCACAGGAAAAGGGAAGAAAGGACCAAATGTCACAGACCTTTGATCCCTAACCACAAAACACCATCTTCAGCTTAGTCAAACAGTTGCTTCCTCATTATTTCATAGTTAATTCCATGAATATCCTTACTTACTATGCTTACATGGTACAGTAATTTGAAACCAAAACAAGTGCAATGATAAGAAGAATAAATAAATTGTTCCTATATTTGGGGCCTTATAACCCAGGAAGAGAAAAGCAAAGGACCCAAACAGTTCTACTCTTGAAATTCCACAGAACAAAGGATCAGAAAAAGGTAGAGAAAAGGACTGAGAACACTGTAACAGAAGGTCAGTGCACTGACGGATGAGCAGCACCTGAACACTGTAGCATGGATCATGGAAACAAAACAGAGGTGAGGAGAAATGGGGCTAAAGAGATGAGTGAAGCAGTAAGTTAAGCACAAATCATGGAGTGGCAGGGTGAAAGGGAGCCTGCGATGGGGCCAAGCAGATAGGATTTTGCATGTTTGCATACTGGACCCTGGTTAAGGTTGTACATGGTGCTTGATCTTATGGTAAGAGAGGAACAAGACAGGCATTTGGTCTCACTTAGAGCTTTAGCCCCATGAGGAATAAATACTAAGGAGTTAGTGGGTTGGGGGGGGGGGTTAAGTCTACTTTGGAGACATGAAGAGCTGTGATGTAAAAACTCAAACTGTCTGGGAGTCTCTTGGGCTACCCTGGCCAACAATTCAAAGGAAGGTATCTCCTGTCTGGCATTGTTTCTTGTTATGTAGCTTTTAGCTATACACATGGACTCTGAAAGAATTATATTGATCCCTTTAATCTTTGCTTATACTGGGGGGGGTTAAGTCTACTTTGGAGACATGAAGAGCTGTGATGTAAAAACTCAAACTGTCTGGGAGTCTCTTGGGCTACCCTGGCCAACAATTCAAAGGAAGGTATCTCCTGTCTGGCATTGTTTCTTGTTATGTAGCTTTTAGCTATACACATGGACTCTGAAAGAATTATATTGATCCCTTTAATCTTTGCTTATACTTTCCTTTTGGGTGTTTAAGACCATGCAGTTGCCCCAGATAAACCAATTTGAACAGCAGACCCCAATCTTATCTAAAGGAATATTGGTAACTGCTTGCTGCTAGATGAGGAAGAGCTGATCTTCCTAAAACAAGGAACCCTAAATAGGCTGACTAGACTCAGCAGATGGACCAGCACTGGGGAATGGGTAGGGGGATTGAGAGCACAGTAGACAGTAACAGGGATGACAGAGTCTATGGGCTCCAGTGGGGGGGGGGAGAACTATGAGAGGGTGCCACTTAGGATGTGGGTATACAGATGAATAACATTGTTTGGGATGGTCTATATGAAATACACAAAAAAAAGTCAATAAATGAAAAAAGTTATATTTGAGGAAGAAGCATAAAATTTTGCTTCATGTTAATTAATACATGTGAAAAACATTACGATTGACATCTACTGGATGACTTTATATCCATGCTCAAGGTGTCAAGGATCTCAGAAAGTAACTGACTATGACTAGTAATAATCAGATATATAGAGATTGGAGACACATGTGCCAACATCTAAGTGTTAGTTGCATTAAAAATGAGTTCTGCGGGGCGTGGTGGCGCACACCTTTAATCCCAGCATTCGGGAGGCAGAGGCAGGCAGATCTCTGTGAGTTCAAGGCCAGCCTGATCTACATAATGAGTTCCAGGACAGCTGGGGCTACAGGGAGACCCTGTCTCAAAAAGACAACATTAAAAATGAAGTTTTCTGTATGAAACTGTATTTTAATAATGAAATGGAGATCTTTTCTAAAGATTCAAATGTCACTTAATTTTACGTCTTATAGGGTTTATACTGAGTCCAATATTGTATAAATATTAATTCAAATGTAAACCTAAAATTTTACAGCCAGTTTTGAAAGAGATGCATCTTAGCTCTGGAAATTGTTATTGAATATGTCAATGCTGTTGTAATGAAATGCTTCTTCTAATTATGTGGTTATTAAATAAATAATATTTTTTGAAAAACCTCAAAACTGGCATGCCTGCAAAATCCTATCTACAACAGTTTTAGGTTTTTTTTTTTTTTAGACAAATGATCCATAATCCTGCCCACCCAAAAGAACATGTTATCAAGTTCTTCAAAAAATTTGTTCATCCTTGCAACAGGAAGCCACAGAAGTGTGATACCCATATCCTGTAGCTCTCCTGTGTGCCGTTCCCTGAAGAGTGGGAAATGCAGTCTCCTCACTGCAGCACTAATCGCAATCATTTATGATACACCCTGAACTATGCAGTGATTTATGACTTTCAAAATAAGCTAGAGAATTCATCCTTGTCCACAAGTATCTTTTCTGGGGATATAAAACATATAAAGTAATTGTCAAGAAAACATTATATGTTCAGAAAAGGTAAGCATTCATTAAAGACAAGACTGTATTGTCTGTCAAAGAAAAAGGCAATGTTAGATCTACGAATACACATAGCCCAAGAAGGCAAGATTCTCCAACAGAAATATAGCAAATTCAGTATGAAAACGTTGGGAGAGAAAAATGGCAGAAGTTCATACTAACTCGTAATTTCTGTGCTACATTCTAAAATAATATAAAGCAAGGTCCCCTGCTCAACTTCTTGGGCCAGACAAATCATTACATTTCAGCTGGCACCATCACATGAGAAAAATATATATATTCCACATAGATGATGATAATAGTGCCAGACAGCCCAGTTCCTCATCTGTACTACCTCATTGTGTCTCCGTCATTCTAGGTAAGCTAAGTCATAGGGCGCCAGAAACTAGAAGAAAAGAAAACAAAGATTCAGTAAAAGTTGGCATTACTGAAAAACTTGGAAAAAAAAAATCAACAAGTTAATTCATACACCTTTGTTTGTTCTTGGGGGTTTGGGGGGTGTTGTTTTTGTTTTTGTTTTGTTTTTGAGATAGGATCCCAAGTGCTGAGTTTAAAGGCTTGTGCCACAATGTCCTGCTTCACACAGCTTTTTTATGAGACAGGATCTCACTATGCATAGCCCAAGCCGACTTTGAAGGCACTTTACTGCACAGGCTAACCTCAAAGTTTCCATCTCTCTGGTTCTGGGATTACAAGTGTATGCCACTTTTTCCAGCTAAGATAGCTTGACCTCAGGTCCCAGTGCTGCTTCAGCTTCCCCTCACCTTACAGCCTGTCTTTGTTTCTCCATTGCTGTGACAAAACACTCTGACCACTACCAACTTGGGGAGGAAAGGGTTTATTTAGCTTACAACTCCCAGGTCGCAGTTCATCAGGGAGCCCAAGGTAGGAACTCAAGGCGGGAACCTGGAAGCAGGAGCTGGAGCACAGGCCATGGAGGAACTCTGCTTACTGGCTTGCTCCCCTGGCCCCTGCTCAGCCTGCTTTCTTATACAACACAGGCCCACCCGCCCAGGGGTGGCACCACCCATAGTGGGCTGGGCCCTCCCACATCACTCATCAAGAAGATGCCCCTCAGACATGGCCACAGGCCAGTCCAATAGAGGCAATTCCCCAATTGAGGCTCTCTCAACCCAGGTGTGTCAAGTTGACACTTAAAGCTATCCAGCACACAGCCTCTCACTGGATTCATTCTGCTACTGGCCACCAGCCCTAGAGCTGGAAACTCCCCACCAACACTCCAACTTCAGGACACGGAATCTCACCTTGTTTCCCTTCCTCTCAATTAAAGGTAAACAAATAACCCAAAAGATATTTACCAAATGCTCTGTGAGAAAAAAATAAATAAATAAGGAAATACAGAAACCTTTTATCAAAAGTTTCTACTCATATTGTACAGACTCAGCTTTCCTGAGCAGGTTTGACTACAGGCAAGACAACCAGTTTCCTTGCCTCCCAGCAGTCTGAGTGCCTTGCTTCCCACAGCAAAGCAAGTATTCTTTCTAATCCTTCCACCAAAGCTTCACTCATCATTCAAAATTTTTTAAGAGTCCATATGCATAGCTAAAGGCTACATAACAAGCAACAATGCCAGGTAGGAAGGAGATCCCTTCTTTTGAGTTGTTGGCCAGGGTGGCCAAAGGGACTCCCAGATAGTAACCCAGCATAGAACTGGGAAA